TTGGTCGTAATATGGATTCAATTGTTGTTGAACGTGAAACAACAGTTCAATCATGTTTACGTTATATGAAAGAACATCGTTATGAACCTGAAACATTTTTACCACTTGATTATATTAAAGTTACACCTGTTAATGAACAACTTCGGTTTGTTTTTAATTTTTTTTGAAAACTTTTGCTTCATTAAAAGAAAATAAAAAAATGTTTTTTTTTTTTTTTGTTTTTAGAGAATTACAAGAACCGAAAAATGTTAAACTTGTTCTTGATGTTATTAAATATGATAAACAATATTATAAAGCATTACTTTATGCATGTGGTAATGCACTTGTTTGTGATAGTGATGATGAAGCAAGAAAACTTGCATATGAAAGTGGACATCAAAAAAATAAAGTTGTTTCATTAACTGGAACACTTTTTAGCAAATCGGGAGTTATCTCAGGTGGATCAAGGTATGATGAAAACAAAAAAAAAACCTATTAATGAAAGGCTAGATGAATTCCTATTTTTTGAAAAGCCCTCCAAATGATCCTATCATTTTATTAAGAAAATTCTATTTGAATTTTGTGGAAATAGAAACTCATGTATTGATGAAATTTTTTTGAATGAATAATTTTAATTTTTTCTAGTGAATTAAAAGCTCGAGCTAAACGTTGGGATGAAAAACATCTTGATACATTACGTATGCGTAAAGATAAATTATTTGATGAATATAAAGAACAACAAAAGAAAAAACGACGTGAAGCTGAATTAATTAATGCACGGTTAGTTGAAAATTTATAAATATAATTAATAAAATTAATTAATTTTTTTTCTTTTTTATAGTGCACAATTACAACAACTTGAAAGTCGTTTACGTTACTCGAGAACAGATAAAGAAACAGCTGAAAAACGACAAAGAATTTTAATTGAAAAAGATCTTGTCGATTTTAACGGTAAACTTGCTACATACGAGGTTTGTTTGATTAAAGATTAAACACTTCTAGAAGGATTAACATTATAGAAAAAAAATTTTGTTGCGTTGGTGATGAGTTATCTGCTTCACAGACGATAATCTCTATTACAGACAAAATAATATCTCGACAAGTCCAATTAGACGCTTGTATAAATATGAAGAATTTCAATAAACTAGAGCTAAGAAACACTCAGAGCTAACTTAGGTTTTTCTAAGAACTAATGTTGCGAGAAAAACCACATTAGTGTAGAGCAGAC